TCACAATGACACCATCTAATTTACTGTCATTGTTCACATAGACACTATACGACTGCATTACCGGTCAAAACTCGCCACATCCTCACTACCGCACTGCCATAATGGTGAGAAAAAGGGATTCGTCTGGACACTAAGTGACCGTAATATAATATATCACAACGGTTTCAGTATGTTGTATTGTCTGAATATTAACCTAATGCTTTGACCGACAACCAAACAGTCCCTCAAACGATTTATTTTGTTTTAACGTGCAATTGGTGCTAACCAAGCCATGTTATGGTGAAAACTTTCCCACGATTTTTCCTGAAACAAATCTTCCGATTCTATCGTCTGATAGTTTCGTTTATATCTATCGACAGTAATTGCCTAATAAGTTGCTAAATATATTTCTCACTTTTGGGGGGATAATCAATATTACTAGTGGTCACATCACGCAATGACTGTGTCCGTTCTCATGCCAGAACCATCAGCAAACTGTCATTTTTTTTCGCGCCACAATAATTAACCTGGAGATGTTCCACGCGGTGGACAGTGCGCGAGACGGTTGTCGTCTGCGCCGAGTGGTAAACGTCACAGGAAGGGGAGTGTCACCAGTAACATACTAGCTGGCAGTAGTCTTAATACGGGAGTAATTGGTCTCCAGCTAAGAAAAATAGGTAAGAGATATCCAAACTGTCAACTGCATTTTCATCTGTAAGAAATATAATTGGGAAATCGATAAAACCTTTATCCGCAGTGTTAGGTAATAGTGACACTCTTTTTTTGTTAGCTCATCACGCAATTTGGAACATTGCCTGCCTGGATTTCATTCAGGCTCTGCAGAGAACAGAATGACATCTGCAATTTGTCCCTCATCACTTTAATTAGCTATTATTAGCAATGTTGAATTAAGACCATCAACTATCTGTTTCTACCCCTATTTTCTCCTGGCAGCGTATGTCGAAACTGCCTCGCTCAGCACGGATCACACCCAAAGTGAAAACCATGGAGTAATTATTGGTATCATCAATGTTATTTAAAACAATAAATTTCACTAATATCGTCCTAATTACTAATTTGAAAAGTAGCCCATGACATATCGAGTTTGAAGTCTCTGTGATTGTTGTCCGCCGGTACTGAATTCGTTTTTCTTAATCGTTATCTTCCAGCTAACTTAACTCAATATCTATCAGATATTTGCTGGTACAATATATATATTTAAATTACATATGATTGATATATAAAAATATACTCTTATATCACCGTTCATTATATTTACCTTTCTACGACACAAACAAAAATAGCTGGTCCTTCCAAAAGTGCAAAAGACACACAAGAAAATAGCATTTTCAGTTTTTTTTTTAATTGAGGAGAAGATAACATAGAACCGAATAATGAAGCGTGGCACAGCTGTTTCATCAACCTAAGTCGCGTCAGTGTTGCTAAGGGCCTATAGTGTTGAGATCTTAGAAACAATGATGTAGGTGTAGGGACGCATTTGCCCGATAATTCAATAAAATTCGTAATTTTCAAATATCGGATAATTTGTAAGAATGCCAAATGCACGTGTTTATTGCGTTGATTAGTTTTAAACAGAATATACATATAACACCAAAGTGTAGGAAACGTAAACGACATATGTCACATCACTTATTCATTGCTCTAGTGTAAGTTTTCTTCATCAAACAAGTTACCAGGGAACTGGTATATACCGAGTCCGTATGTTTAAAATAAAAATTAAAATAATTAAGCACATTAAAATCGTCTTTTCCTGAATGCCAACAGGTTACAAATTCACCATTATTACAGTTAATGAGTATAGTGATTATCTAAAATTATAACTGGATTTATGTATTTCTTAATTCGATTGAGAGAGATTTTTATTATTCGACTTCACACCTTCTTATCTCGAATGATAGTAGGTTTATAATTCTCAATTAGCATTACGCTTTATATTTATCTTCTCTTTATTCGAACTTGGATGAATCATCCTACTTTAACTCGAACTCAAAATTTCTTATCTCGATGATGATTGGTAGAAGATAAATTTTGATCTATAAAATTCGGATTAAATCTGATAATTATCTTGATTTGAATCCGAATTAACATTTTTACAGGTAAACAAAATGAGATAGAAGACGGAAAGAACATCATTGATTGTCCGCTTCTATAGAGGACGCCATTTTGTAAATTTATCATGAGAAATATACCATATAACTATAGGTCTTGTGTCTGATATATGAAATAAACGATGTATGAAAATTAGGAAGTGAACTCATTATGGGGCTGCTGCGCCTTTCTGTTGACTTTTCTTTCGGTCCCCTTTGATTTTCCTTAGTCGCCTCATAAGCTTCAAAATTTAGGCCCGTAGTATCACGGTAGTACGAAACACGTGTTTGATGTAGTTAAATTAATTGTTTGGCTCCACTTTATCAAACTCTAAATTATGAAAAGGTGTCATTCACTTGTGTGCCTTTTGTACAATCTTATAGCGGGTATTGTAGAGTGGTATCTTAGCCCTAGGATGATGATATAGTAATATATACAGCAATCCCAGCATGCCCAACATTTAACCAAGCGGAAAAAACACCACTGATGGGTGTCATATTGTGAAATCAAGTATTGTAATCCTATTATCTTGTCCATTTCTACACGTCTTAACTATGTAATAGACTTCCCCCTCAACATGTGGAGTATATATAAATACTCATGGCAAATACATGTGTAATCTATATCAGTGTCAGACTTTTGACACCGAACAACCCTGCACATCTTTACTGCATCAAGCTCTGTATTACTCTCGTCATCTCTGTTTGCTTGAAATTGCAATCTAGATGTTCATATGCTACAATGTATTACGTATAAAATATATCATCTATATATTAATCTATTTCCTTGTGTATCAAGTAAGTTTTGTAATATCAACCTTCAGTAACACACATAAGTGTGTACAGAATGTTATGAAGAATTTGAATCTAAAATTATTTTTTATATATTATATTGAAGAATATTTTACTTGATTACGAATGTTAACATGTCTGTATGAATATTATGAAATTATATCCAAATTCGTTTTTTAATTCATTGCAAATATATAGATTAATAGATATCAATAGTTTCGCCTCGTATACAAGATGCAGGATTTAAAAGAAATATATTTTTTAAAAATATTACAAACTCGAAACACATTAAAATATGGTCAGTTGTGATTTTCTCTTTCATCCTATACTTTACTGATATTTAGAAAATTGTGATGACATAATTACACGTTTCTACATATTTAACACTGACCAGCAAACCGTGACAGATCTCCATTATAACAGTATTTATCTATTTTATATCATCACAGTTAATTTTAGTGTGTAATCCATTCTGATATCGTTGTGCTTTCGCACTGTGCTGATTCGTTCCGCTGTGTTGTAAGGCAGCTCCCCGTGGTGACGAGTAAGAAGGGCTAGGAACTGTTAAAAAAGGCTCACCTTTTCCCACGGTCTGACCGACAGTTTGACCACATGACTGTTAACACGATTAGCACTAATGAATAGACAGATACCTGTCCTGTTATTGAGCCGTCATCACTGGTCAGTTTACGCTACGATACGTGTGGTCAAGAAACAAATACTGACCGCAACATGCTATATATCGTGTCAAATTAGGCCAGCAACTTTCAAAGTTTCCCTTTTGTTCACAAAACTAATTTTTATCAAATCTTTCTCGGCTTATTTGTTAAAAGCTTTTTTGATATGTTTCGTCTGAATTGAAAATGACACCACATATATGATTTATAATGCAATAAATTTTATAATATTCATATTGTTATGTAATTTATATAACGTTGCTTTAAACATACAAGTAATATATCGATCCTGTCACACAAAAATAAACGTATATATCTATCTTTGTAAAATGAAGTATTTGTGTAATTGCTATGAAATTTGAATCAACACGTTTTCATGAGATAAATATTGCGGTGTCAACTTCTAATTTTTTCCGTTCCTTGCAATCCGTCTATTTCCATGTCATAGTATTACTAACAGATTTATTTACATTTCTTTAGTATGCCGTAACATTACCTCAGCGTTGAAGCTCGGGAACATCTCAAGACATGAAGTGTTTCCACATCAAAAGACCTAATCAAACGGTACCAGATTGGCAGCCGTATCGAATTATCGGTCTTATTTTTCTTTCCGTCACTAATTACCTCCTAAATACGCAATACAAACAAGTTCTGTCGGTGTATGAGGTAGATCATACTTAAATCATAAATCCTACATTTCCGCCTTCTTACCTCGCACTGTTTTATTTGAACAGAATCATTCTATTTCTCTTGACTTCTTGTGTTTAGGTACAGTAAATTCTAAATCTACTACTCGATCAAGTGGGATGATCTCTTTCATCACGTGACTTCGCCACATGTCGAGTTATCATCACCAGTACAATTTCACCTGAGCAGTTTACCTGTGATCATTGTGTATACTCGCGGGTGTGAATCATCGTGACATAGAGCCACGCCCACTTCAGGCGAGATGGGCGTAATAGAACAGCTTAATCGGGATCATTGCCTGTTGTTCCCGCCTCTTGATTGACAAGCGCGCGCAATGATTGACATAGTCGCTATGACAACTCTACGAATAGAGCACTACCACCCAATCATTTTGCAACCGTTTTTGAATTTTGATTGCTCGATAAGTTTGATAACAATAGTTGTTACAAGACACATGTGATAAAAAAATGACACATTCACCAGATCCAAGCCCCTCCCAAACACTTACATTTAATATGTTTACTCATCGGGGACTATACCTTCTCCTCGAGTCTTTGGAAGGAATCCTGACAGTGTATTTGTCCGTGTGTACAAAGATAGGGGTATCAAGGCCAACCGCTTCATAATAAGGAATTGCCTTCAAAGGATCAGAGCTGTTCTGCTTAAGCAGTTAAAGGACTTTAATATGTAAAATGTGGTTTAAGTATTTTTAAAAAAACAATTGACTAAAGTTGATTTTTCACATAGTATACTCACCATGTTTGCGTTACCGACTTTACACTTTACGCCGCAGCAAGTTGCACAAGTTTGTGAGACTTTGGAGGAAAGTGGTGACATTGAAAGACTTGGTCGATTTCTGTGGTCCCTTCCGGTGAATCCGTCTGCTTGTGATGCTTTAAACAAACATGAATCTGTTTTAAGAGCACGATCTCTCGTATCTTTCCACACAGGAAATTTTAGAGACCTTTATCACATTTTAGAAAATCATAAATTCACAAAAGAATCTCATGCCAAACTGCAAGCAATGTGGCTGGAAGCTCACTACCAAGAGGCAGAGAAGCTGAGAGGCAGACCTCTGGGTCCTGTAGACAAATATAGGGTCAGGAAGAAGTTCCCTTTGCCGAGAACAATTTGGGATGGTGAACAGAAGACACATTGTTTTAAGGAAAGGACGAGGAATCTTCTAAGAGAATGGTACCTGCAAGATCCGTACCCCAATCCAACTAAGAAAAGGGAACTGGCTCAGGCCACAGGGTTAACTCCAACACAAGTAGGAAACTGGTTCAAAAATAGGAGGCAAAGAGACAGAGCAGCTGCAACCAAAAACAGGTTGGTTTCATTAACAATTAGTTATAATTGTATCTTTAATCGTGTTTATATTTTATGTTCAATTTGTTATGTGTTAATCGAGATAAATTAATGGACTTCATCGCAATGGGATGGTAGTAAATACGAGACTATTTTAGAATTACTTTTGTCTGGTGCTTTAAGGTAGTAAATTGCTCTACCTGGAATTTTCGTACCCACAACTCTCTATGTAAACAATAGTGTGTAAAATAACAAGATTTGCCGTACTCATGAATATCCTTTTAAAAGTATAAATGTTCTCACAGCAATAACCTTTCAAAAGAATGCTTGACATCTCACACTATTGAAGGACCGATTAAAACGTTTCAGTTAAAACTTTTTATTTCTATCTTCTGATAATGCAATTTATGAAACTCAAAAATAGCTTTGCAAAGAAAACAATTTTAAATGATACCAGAAAAAAAATCTTATTGATTTATTTATTTCATTTTTAACGATTTCCACAAAATATTATTCTGTAAAAGTGCTTTTTTGTTGTAGTTTTCCAATGCGTTTTCATATTTTGTTTGAAATTGTCCATTAAACAATTTTGTTCTTTTGCACACAATTGAGGATACAAACTCACAAATATTCCTCTCTTTTTCTGCATGGAATTATTTTAACGGGACAATAAAAAAGAATATGAATTTTCAATTTTTCTATTTTCATATTTTCTACAAACAGCATATGAATATACATGTGTAGTTTTACGCCAATCAGCAGTCTATTTGAGTAATGCATTTTTAAGAATTAAACATAAAGTTATTTACCAATTGTTATAAATACTTTACCCAAATAATTATGATAAAACATTTTTATATTTGAATATTATTTAACAGTATATGAATCATCTTAATATTAAATAATAAATACAGTTTTCTTTTTACACAAAAGTCCCAAGTCTCTAGAATTCTGATTAAATTGAACTTGGAAATGAAAGTAGTGCTTGAAAAGACAAATATCAAAATTACATCGCAGAATAAAATACCGAAATTATTTTCTAATGATTTAGCTGAAAAAACTTTTTTTCGCATAATTTAATATTTGCATTATAATTTTTTATAAGTTGAAATAAAGTAAGTGATGTATATTTCTGTACACTCCATTAAAGACGAGTTGTTTAATCTGTCGCATACATTGAATGACAAAAGTTTACATGGGCCCTGGGGCTGACGATTTGTCAGGAGTTGTCAGGTAGTTTGTGAGTTTACTGTCGACATATTTGTCGGCACCTCAGAATTATTCTTGAATAAGATGTTAAAAGTGATAGGGATACCAACCTGGGGCATAACGCGCTCCGAAAATATTTACCAAGTCGGGAAATTTGCCCTTTGCGAAGTTTGTTTTTGATGATGTTTTAGTTAAACCTTATATTGATAGTTAATTGTGATGATACTGCTTTTATATAATTTCTATATGAAAATCATCACCTGATTACGATGCTTAAAATCTCTCAAATTATTTTACTAAACAATGTGAAAATAACTTACTAGTTTGATATTTTTAACTGACCCATGTGAAATGACATTGTTACTAAATAAAATATAGTCATTTTCAGAACGCTTCATATAAAATGTTTGATTATAAATCTGATGATGTAAAACGACTTGTTCATTCACGTAGCACCAGCGTTTGTTAAGCAATATGATGAAATGAATTAACAAATAACTTACGTCAGGTTCAAAACTACTCCAATCTCGGTGTAAAGTTCTCTTAAGAAACTTATTCAATTATCACATACGGGTATTTCCTGTTCTTAAAAGCCGCATAAACAAAACTGAAATATTTGTAAGTGTAAACAGTCACTAATTTGTATACAAATGTTAATTTGCTAACCGTCCACTAACGAGAAAGAAAACAACACAAACAATGTAAGTTACACGTTAATATTTGATATGAACACCGCACTGAATACATTTCAACACTATGGGCGTCTAATATTATTTGTTATCAAGAAGCAAACGGATTTAAATGTTTAATGTATGGATGTAAGTAAGTTGTAACGGTACTACTCTAATTGTGTCAAGCAATGGTCAAGCAGTTAGCACTTTAAATATTGACTATGTAATGTCCACTGTTCGTGGTCTCTTGACCAAATAACCATTCCTAATCTTATTCACAACTCACAGGCCTCCGGGTAGGCTTCATTAGACCTACTGGGACGATCAATTAGTTTTCGTCATATGAACGATAGTGACAAAGTCGTATTGCGAATTCACTGTTGTAGACACAAACATTGTATGTGGGTCGTCTGTATAGGTGAATTAGACACTATATAAATGTGATGATGGTATTAGTACAACAATAGACTCGAGACACATATGTAACAAATGCATTGACACCTACGTGTAATAGTACTTTGTTGAACATACGCGGATTACATACATTTATGTATAAACACCTAAATAGAAATAATAAAAGGGATTTCTCCACTGAGTAACATGTTTCACACCTCCCGGGCTCTATAGAACCAACGTATCTACATCTGTATACACATGCATTTCATTTCTTGCTGTAACCTTTAATAAACAATATCACCAAAATAACAGAAGCGACGATGTTTATATATTTTTTTATTTTGTTGTGAACGAAATTCGTCGTTAAACATTCGCGATATATACATAAATCGTATTCAAACTTTTTACCATTAAATATGTTTCTGAAATACAAATCTGAAATCCTTTACTTCATGATAAACATTTGACTCATAATGAACATCAATATGACAACGTGCCTCCTTTATTATATAGATATTTTTGGAGGGGATGGGTTGGGGATGGGAGCCTACCCTCTCACAGTACTATGTTACTTTGACATAGAAATAATGTTCACTAGGCCAATATATAACCGTCATAAATTAATTTATTTTTACGGCAATATATTTAGTTGGATAATCAATTGGGTTATCTGTTGAAATCACTTCTTTTGTGCTTTACGGGGACGAGGATTAGTGAAACCTGTCTGTATAATATAAAAATATCATCCCCCTTGTAGTTGAATAGACATGAAACCTGCATTAAACAATAAAAGAGAAAAATATTATCTACAGCAGGCCCTACTAAGTCATATTAACACAGTCACGATAATGCTTGTATTTGTCATCAATATAATAGCGAAGCGTGGGGGTCGACTGATTGGGGATATATTAATACCCCAGATGAACAGTTATGAAGTAAAATTCTTCTTAATCTAAGACACCTTCTATATACAGGTCACGTAGGGAAATAGAATGCCCAGAAACTACTTGTAATAATCGAGGGGCGGTGTGAAAGAATTGAGTTTTCCTAAGGACTTACCGTCAGAGATAGGATTCATACCTGGGTTCAGATACACCTGTTTTCGGGTTTTAATGCGGGCCCTTCATCCTATTTGACAGATAAGCTAGTCACCTTTCCATTATTCCCTTGTTTACTGTTAGCACCTGTTCAATGTATAGTTTACTTAATCGCTTTCAACACATTCCATAGTCGAGACCCTATATCCCAGATCTGGTCCTAGTAATAACAGATTCTATGTTACATAACTATATCAACAAACTTCATCACGAAGTCACAAAGTTAAGGATTACATTTGTTTACGTAACATAAATATCAGTGGTTTGGCCAGGTGAAACAGTGAGGATGATCACTCGGTGTCATATGAATTCGTATTCTGCATATCTTCACGATTACAGAATTAGGGGTCCAAGGAGCGCTCTGGGATTTATCGGATAATGGCTCTGAGAGTTTGGTTTCTTTTGTTTATATAAAGTTTGAGGTGTTTATGAGATAGTGTATCGGATCAGAGTAAGCCGTTTAGTCACTGACACTTGCGCATTCTATCGATGAAGTAATAGTATTGATTTTAACAAGTTTGCTCTTTAAAATGTTCGTCCATGTAGATATCTTATCCATTAGCTATTCAGTTATACATTTCCATGCGTGTTTCACCTTTACGAGAACCTACCTTGATAGGAATCCAAACATGCTGATCGTTAGTGTACAGGGCATGCTTACAAATTATTCATTGTGAACAACCTTTATCATATATACTATCTTACATTTAGGCTAACGTTTAAATATAACTGAAATTGTATTTGAAAAATGCAATAACCACTTTCTTGTTTTCACATTTGAAAAGAATATCTAAATGACATTTCTGTTTTCATGCCTTCTGGTTTCTCTAAAATGTTTTGTTAAATAGTTGATGGCTGGCACACGTCTCCTTCGTTGTCTAAATCAAAAGCAAAACGAAATGGCGAGCAATTTATGTCGATACCAGTGAAATTGTAATAATACCTAATGATTATTCAGTAAAAATAAAATATAGATATACTAAAATGTATTTTATAAAACATAATCCGAACAATGAGCGCAAATTACAAAACAAGACGGCACTCAAGAAGGACGGAATATTAAAATAATTACTCCTTCAACAAAATATCTACATTTACCAAAACATACAACAAATCTGTCACACTAAATATATGTCGATCAAAAAAAATCATCTGTTAAAAGTTTTAAACTTTGTATCGAGTTATTGATCCCTTCTGTCGTAGAGCAATATAAATTGTATTTGGTTGGGGTGATTTTAACAGTATCAATAACACCTTTTGATAAAAGTTAATTTTGTTCGTTGATACAGATTATAAATGTCCAAACTGTCACGTAGAAGATTGCTATTTACCTGTTTTTATCGTTATAAAGGCTTTAGCAAGTATTTTAATAGTCACTAAAATGCAATATATCCGTGTCAATATATGTTCAGATATCACGACAGTAACTGTGGTCAAAAGCCCGCCGTCCGAGTATTACATTAAATACAAAACAGCTGAGCAGATTAATGGGGATATCGGACAAGTATAATCTAGCGGTTTATTTTGACAGGTGCTAAATTGCTATGTTTAATCAGGTCTATCATACTAGTGATTCTGGTAGTGATAAAAATTGTTCATACGAAGGTTTCTCGGGATGAAGCTTGTATTTGTAAGTTATTTTGATGTAGTTTTACACATTCTATCCTTATCGGATTTTACTGCTGTCAAATAAATTTTTCAAAAATTTGTAAACAGAAAAGTAATTGGATTCTCTCCTATAGATAGGGAACCAAATGAAATATTAATACATTTGATTAATCACAAAATGTTTAATTAAAAGATAAATCATATTCGCTTCATTGTTGATATGCAAATTATGTTCATCTATATTAGAAACTTAAAAAACGAAATACGCCAAACTGTATCGTCGCATTAGAAAATATATAACTTAATGTTGATTTCTTAATCAGAATTGTTAATCTTACTCGAGCATGAGTGTGTAAAATGTCGAAATTTCTTTAAAAATGAAAAGAACGATTTTGACATTGGCACTCTGATTGAGAGTTTAGTACAGAAGATTTGGATTTAGAGTACATCGTTGGAAAGGAGTCAACGAGGCGAAGAAACGACAGTCTTGTGTCGGTAGTAATAGATTTGTTCTTGTGTCAATACGCGAGTCCAATGCATCGCAAATTTGAAGCATTTCAAACGCCGTCCTCAACAGGCCTTGGCCGCGACAGATATTGTACCTAGAAAACTTAAGTATACTCGACGTTTGAAAGCAAAGTAGCAGTTGTCGTCGATTTGGTATGACTTTGTATAGATCATGTTGTGTTAAACCTCGATTTTCTCCTGACACGAGTAAATAAATCTGGCACGAATCATAATAATTACAATGATTTAACAAAATTTTCTTAATGGTCCAGTCTATTGTATACAAATGTACTACCAGTCAATGAATATGTATCACAGACATATCTATTGCTGGGGTATTTGTCTGAAGATCATCTCGATATGAAATTGAAATTTATAATAGGGATCAATTGAGATCGCGTCAATGCCTGTTAAGTGATATCTGGTCTTAAGTAAACACTAAGCTGTCTAGTTATCTGTCTCTAGTTATCAGAGAGCATATTGCGGGTGTCAGAAGATTACATACTACTTATCAGACCTGTGATCATATCTTGTACTATCATTGTGCTGTCAATATGTCATCACAATCAGCGCTAATTATTTTGTTTTTATATTGGTTGGATAAAAGCAAAACGATGGAACGGCGGTAATTTTATTACAGAAATGAACGATATTAGATCTATTTCAAATTGTTTTATCTTATGATAATATATCTGTTTTTCATGATCAAATTATTTACACATACCATTAGTTGAACCTAAATTATTTTGTCTAATAGAGCAAATGTATTTTCCCCGGGTGATTCTAGACTTAACGATTATAAGGAACTTTCTAGCAGGAAAATGACTTTTGATTTATTTTGTGGTAATGTGAAAACAAAAAAGATGACCAACCTGCACATAATTAAAATATCTATCATCTGCCTGATTTTATTTTATTTTATTATTTGCATGTTTACGTTTACTTTTCTTTTGAAAGCAAAAACATGTAATTCATTTGTATTTTATTTGCCTCTTATTGAATTATAAACGTTTTAACATTATCTAATAATTTTGCATTCAAATTGAACAATTAATCCATGATTTCATGATAAACTTATTAATGTTTACGTTGTTTGAGTAAAATAATTTCAAAAACTTTTTCAAAAGTATTTGTTATTTAGTAATCTTTTCTTATTACTTTGATTTATCTGATAATCATTGCGTATTTCTTTTTATTTAAGATTCGCTCTTTTTCTTCATCATTTGATATTTCATTTAAAATTATAAAATAAAAGGAAAATACATTCACAATGTAAAGCCGTATCACCGTATTGAAAAAAGTTAATTTAATATTACATGAATGAAAAAAGGATGGCATAAAATATTGAAATTAGTTTTTTTTTATCTAACTGTGTGAAGGTAAACTGAAAAACTTATTTTATTACACAAAACCCACATCATTCCTCTGCTGGATACGTAATAATTTCTTTGCATAAATTTATACAGAAAATGTCTTTGAAGCAAATCTAAGTGAACATTACAACAGCCAGTGCAAACATTAAATACAGCAAATACAAATAAATACAAATGCCACATTTTGCGGTTTATTTATCAGAAACACTGATTTTAGACCATGTCAGGTCCTCGTGACCTTTGTATCAAAGAAAACTTCCAGTGGAGTCAATTGAGCAGGAAATTTGTATTTGTTTGTCAATGTGTCAGACCAACTGTTTGACTGCGCGGCTGAGTCGTCAGAACTTCCGGTTGTCACGAATTGCAAATGTCTGCCAAGAGCGATACAGCGGGGCGTAGTTTTGATTTTCACTCTCAACACTACGGATTGGTCTCCCCCTGTGTGACACATAGCTTGAGTTTTCCCCGAGAGATAGTAAACTAATCCGACTAATTAATAAAAAGAAAAATCCCGAGAGAAAAATAAAAAATATAGAGTTGTCACTCACGACCCAACGATTTTGACATCAATATGCCTCGGGGCAAGGTGCGCTCAAAGTAAATGTTTAAGCAACATTGTGCTATTCAGTTTAAACAACCAAACGATATGCGGTGTTGATTTCCGCTTAACTTGAGTGTCATAGAGTGTAAGAAAACACCTATCAAGTACATTTCTCATAAAAATTTCAATGAATAGTAATCATGTTAACGTTGAGTGAAAGGGTTCTTATTCTAGTGTTGAAATCAATACCTTTCTGATTCAACAAAGCACCAATATCAGCATAAGGGGATAACACAGATAGGCAAATCGAAATTATGCAAACAAGCATGTAATTTAAATTAAATAAATCGTAAATTTGTCGATATATTCCTATTATGATAATTTTAAGTGATGACTGGAAGTATGATTTTCATTATTTGTCTCGCTTAAATTAGTTTTCTGTTTAGCAATAACAATGAAAAGAAAAATTGATTCGCGTCCAATGCGAATTACTCATATATAACGTGTTAATTCTTTTTATCTTTTTATATGGATATTAATGGAATTTTCTGTTCTTTTACATACGATGTTTCATGACCTTGTATAAAGAGCAAAAATTTTGAAATTAGTGTTATGTGAATTTAGTAAAACAAATGCATTTATCGCCTCGTTCACAGATATCAATTTCAATGTTCCAGACTTCAGCAACGTCAGATGTCAGGTGATAAGCTCAGCCGTTTAGATTCATCATCGCCAACTCCGGGTTCATTGGCTTCATTCGATGAGGATGACAAAATAGACATTGATGATGACGACGATGATTTGGATTTAGATGATTCGAGGAGTAGCAATAGTTCACCTTTATTATCTCACGGACATCATGAAATGCCATCTCCAACGTAAAGAAATTGCGTCACAAATGTTTCTATTTTACTTCACATAATTAGAAGGCTCTTGAATGACGTCATAAATATTCATTACCGGAAGCGGAAGGAGAGTTCTTGCCATGTATCCGTGCTTACTGTCTGTCATTTGTCCGCTACCTGGTGTATGTGTATATATACTTATTTATCCGGACATACGGACGTTTGAAATGGTGAAAAAGGTTTTTTAGGCTTCTAGTTTGTTTCATTTTTTTTTTTTTTTTTTTGTAAATGTCTTATTTATACTTATGTTGTTGTGTATATAAATCATATGTTAAATAATGACAAAGTGACGAAGAGGAAGGATTTGACTGAAGTAATAAGATCCAAAGTACCAACATTTTATCTGTCATTGTTCGGCTGAGGGAGTAAACAAAAATCAATCCAAGATTTCCTTTTCCAGAGGAAACATGTCATGAGAATTATGTTGGCATTGAACAAGTGCTGAATATGTGTTACCTATATAATATGTGTCTATATAATACATATTTTGTCATGTGATTATAGCCTTCTCTGGTTCACAGTTACTTAAGTGTATGCATGGAGAAATTGAGATGTTACGTCCTCGTTACTTTGATTGAGAATAAAGTGAAAACAAATTAAACCAATAATTTAGTTGTAATTTTTTGTTAAATGTGTTTTTATTGTTCCTGTAAGTTCTTATTTTTTCTAAATCGGAGAGTTTAATAATTCAATGAAGAAAGGTGTGATATTTTTCCAAAAATGAAGTCACAGATTGTAAGGACACATTGCAGTATATTTTTCACTTGATATTTTACGTTTATGCTACTATATAAAGATTCTTCCTGTACCAAGCAACTTAGATAAACGAAATGCAAATAAAGTGAATTTCATGGAAATATGTAATAAACAAAATGGCACCGGACCGGGTCATGACCATACAACTTCGTTTGCTTAAGCAAAATGATTCCTCTCTGAACCGTCCAAATGTTAATGTCCCACGCGTGACTGGATTGAATAATTTATGAAACTTTGAAATATGTAAAGTTGGAAAACAGTTAAAAATATATATATACATAGAACGGTTTCAGACCATCTCTCACAGATCTGATTGTGTCTAGATAAATATATTTAAACGGTAGAGTAATCATAAAAAATATAATTTAATTTTTCATTAGATTTAGTGTATGTAGTGAAGTATTTGGTAATATGTTTCATTAAAAAAAACAGTATCGATTGCATTTGAGTGGCTCAACTTTTTTTGTTTGTTCTAATTTATTGACCGCATTTTCTTAATAAGAAATTGTGATTGACCATAGGTGAAAGTTAATAACGATCAAGCATTAGATGGTATAAATATTTGGAAGGTTCTAAACATAAACAAAATCAGAATAGCTCTAGCTGCGGTTTCTGCCAGCTTTCGTATCGTGGCATTGATTTTATCACTTACATATGTCTTTCTGAGGATCATAATTTTTCATAACCATGTTTGATTAAAATCTGTTTATTTAGTGTTTCTGTTCATGTGTACATTTTTCGACCTAACACTACAACCTCTAGAAAATAACTCAAACATTTTGCACGAAGGGACAGTTGAATATATTATTTCTTGCTTTCAATGTCATATTATGAACACAAATCATTTTTTTATAATAAAAATATAACATTGACTATACGGCCATCAATAGCAATGTAGAGACAAAGCCCGGACCGATAATGATTGTTAATGCCCTGCAAATATAGCGTTATTTATGTCACCCAGTATATGTAAATATAAATTCAGTGTAACTACAAATTGGAGAATAATGGATTCATTTAGAAACCGTAATGTCTGACACCAGTGTATATAAATTGTGCATATGAGGCGGGACCGTTCACAATATTGTTAATATATAATGAACAGTCTAAAATGTATTGGCGTCAGAGGACAAACAACGTATGTACTATAAAACACTAACACCAGTGTTAATTTCTTGAAGGTGCATTTTAAAAGTAATCGAATTATCCCGATCACTGATGTGACACCACAATAGCATTTACAGCAGATAATTATTCCAGAGAATTATTCTATAACTGTGAATCATATTTATTGATTAACAATTGTGCTACTTCAACCATCCAACCAGATTTATAGCATCTACATTATGTCATTATATTTCCCTTATATATTATCCTGAAATCAGTACATAAAATGAATTTAAACTTTAATGTTTATGATAACAAAAAATGTTCTACGAAATTGAAAATCGATGATATTAAAACAATACTAATACATACAATTCTTTCACCTATTTTATCAAGGACTAAACCAACATTGAACAGATAGATTTGTCATAAATGTTTTCTTGTTTATCTTTAAAAAAAGAGAGAGAGAGAGAAAAAGCAAAACGTTTTCTTATTCCAAATAATTTCTTATACAATGCTTATACAATCAAACATGCATTGGCAAGTAGGAACTGGTGTCCTGTTTGTTTTGAACTTTTGAAAATAATTAACTTGTAGTTGGAAAGAGAACAGTTTCACAAAGAACAGGAAAAAAGATAAAACATTAGGATTTTACTGACAATTTGCTGAAATAAAAGGAACTCATCTATATGTACCGGCGTTCAGGTGAACTGTTATCAATTATTTGACAAACGGAAGTCGATATATTAAATTGGAATTACAATAAATGACCAATCAAGAGTAGAACAAAATTAAATTTTCGTCAAATTTGGAATTAAAGTGAATGTACAGTGGTAGAAAAACATTATAAGAATATATAATCTTTTACCTTAGAGGAATACATTTGCTATCTTTTTCCTGTATTATATTTTTGATTGATGAATTCGTAAAAGACAAATAACTGAATATAACCTTCCCGTATAAATTCAATATCAGATAAGTGTGTGCTAGAAATCAGATTAAGCTGAATCATACAAATGTTACATCTTTTTGTGACTCGTCATTGATGCTAATATTTGGAAGTAACAGGAAGGTGGTGAATTCATAGATATCACATATAAAGTTAATGTGACTAATATAATATATAAACAATTTTTCTAAAATGTTACCTATGTATTGCACTTTTCGTTTAGGTACCATTGCTATAAATTAATGATATCTACTTGAAAACATTGTCAGCTTTGTGCTGATAGAGGAAACTATTTTCAACAGAATAAAAAATTCCATCACCCAATATTGATATAGTGTTTTAACTGATAATACAAGGGCTATCATTGGTTCATTACTGCGCACGTGTCCACTGCAAAAGCTATTTAATCATACTCAAAGAGTCAGGAACATTAATCCGTTTTATCTTTTTAAGAATCCGTTGTAATTTTTTTCATATGTTTGATCGATGTGTTAATTGTCAGTTAATTTGATATTGAACGAAATATTTATGCTGGTATAATCCAGTAATCTCAGGACATAATCAGCTATAATTTACACATTTACACACAGTCTTTAAAAACTAGTTTTATCACCAACTTGTTTGTGTTTTTCGTATAGTAGGTGATTGATATTTTCACTGTCATATAGTCAGGGGTTAAACCGAGTATTCATTTTTGTTTTATTCTTCAATCGTGAAAGCATTAACTGCATTCGAGGATAAGATCGTGCTGTAAAAATTTCATTTCGCGGAAATCGCTCTTCTGACATTGTATGAGATTTAGTTTTGTAAAGAAGCAAATTTCCTGTTTAAGCCTCAGATCCTTTCCTGAACGAAAATCGAGAAAGTAGAATATTGTCACACAGAATGTACTGAGATTTAAAACAGAAAAAGAACGCAAAAAACTGAAACATCGAAGGAACAATATTTTGTCGCTTGATCTATAAGGACAAATGATACTACATTCATGGGTTGAATATTTTACATTATTAGTACGTACAAAACATTCTTTGTGAACAGGATTCTGAAAGTCTTACATTTTATTTGCATTTGATTTATTTGATTTAAACATATGTTTATTGTCATCAAGCAACCGGGATTACGCACAAATTATAACAACTTAATGACGCCTTATCCCGAAAACAGTACGTTGATCAACATATTTACAATATAATAGACTTAAAGTTTGGAAATAAAAATAAATATATATCAAAAAAGAGGAGAGACGAAAAATGGAAAAGATAAGAATAGAGAAAGATTAACAGAGCCAGGGAAGAAGCAAAGATAAGAAAATGGGTTTATGTTTTGTTCAGTGGCATTCGTCAGGAGATGACCCATCTTTGACAAAAATGTATTGTGATCTTAAAATAGGAAACTATCAAGATGAATTGAAGTCATATTAAATAATATCCAGTGTGCGTAATGTGAAAATAAACGAGAACAAACAGCGCTATTTGTCACAAGCTTTCAATATCAATTATAACATTTCTTCGATAAAGCATCATAACGTGTTTCTTTTTACTTGAAGCATGGCGTCCACAAATCTTTGAAGAAAAAGACAATTTTCACAATTATTGCAAAAATTCTGCTTCCCCTTATTTTAGCGTCTTTTTATTGATATAAGAATCTTCAAGGTTTCTATGTTTGCTTTGTCTATAAGAATATTGCTCTTATCTCTTTCTGTTGAGGGTATATTCAATAATATTCAGATTTCAAACGACAGATCCTATCACAATTACTGATACCCACTGATCAGAAATTGTCCTAATAAATCTGGACTAGAAGTACTTCTGTTAATGTACTTACTGTTAATGTAACTATTAAGAATATTGAAGTTAAATGAAAATAAGCGATTTTATAACTTGCTTTTCGTGGAAACAAAATAATTAAAAGATACCTATAACATGCACTGGGATAGAAACGAAATCTGTAAGTTTCGGTTTCAGTAAAAACGTCATCAATCAGATTTGTGATTCATAATTTATCATAAATAACATTTCAATCTGAAATCATTTTGAAGTCTGTCTTTTAAGGTTAAAGACTAATAATATCATGGATTGCAGTTATTAAAGTTTCTTTCTGTATCCAGGAGCGGATATATGATGTTGTGTTCTGTATGACTAGTATACTTTATCTTTAGTCAAATA